AATTTGACACTTCGTGCACTTCACGGGAACACCATCGGCTCAACGCTACTGCAGGTGGCTGCGGCTTCGTTCTCCCGGGTTTAGGGTTGCGGGTTAGCCTTGGGTTTTGATTGGGCATATTGGGCTTATCCTACCCCGAAGGCTTCAAGGTCACCTACTCAGCACCTCTTCCCTTTCCCGACATTCCGATGTAAGGAGCGCGAAGCGGATGGCCAAAATAGCGATGCAGCCTTTTTTTGAGCCAGACTTAGGGCGGTTTGGGTGGGCCCTTTGTCGCTAAGGTTGGAATGCCTTGCCGTGGGCTACGTAGTCCAGTCTGGCCCAGTCTGACAAGGACCAAGCTGGGCACCCTCAACCCTAAAGACCCTAAGGCTTCGCAGCCACGGGTCCTCTGATGCTATTTTGTGCCGAGAGCGACCACAAAGGTACCCGTCGTGTCCGATTTATGGACAAGTTCAACCTACGGCAATGGGGGGGGGGGGGGGGGGGCAAACGGCATACAAGGTCACTCTTGGCAGACCTTCTTGGACCGCACCGGAGGCATGGCAAGCTTTTCTTTCAACGCGCGGTGTGTCTTGAAAGTATAGTCGCAGCTCAGGAGCCAAGACTTTGATCACAAAACTGCTCTAAAAATGTGCCTGCAGGCACGTGGCAGTATTGAGTTAAAGAGTGCTCTTTGCAGGAATCTTCTGTGGTAAAGTTTGGAAGGTCAAATACCTTCCAGAGATAAGGTGACGGCTGATCTGCGGGGCTATCTTCGGCCGGCCGCATCGCCTGTCACCTATCCTACACATGCGTGAGCATGACTCTGACTTCTTTGCCTTCACTGTCACTGCAGCTGTCTAGGTGCGAATGACAGAAAGGTTCCCTTTGAACTAGGAACAGTCAAACACATTCCTGTCGGCCTTTATGCTCAGTGACTTGCGCAGGCAGGGAAAAAATCTACAAACTCACGCCCTCAGCAAGATTGGAAAAATGGTCTGCACTGTACACGCTTTCCGCCTACGCCCGGGTCTCGGCGAGCTGCGCAGCCCTTGGTGGCGCCATGTCAGGGAACTTCTAAACAAGCAAAGCCCGTGTTAGCGTTTAGGGTTTCGGGTTTAGGGTTTTAGGGTTTAGCTTTTAGGGTTTAGGGTTTAGGGTTTAGGGTTTAGGGTGATGATGATGATGATGATGATGGTGGTAGACAATCCCCACATCCAGTCGGGCGTGTTGCTCTTTGGAATAAACCATTTTTTTGCCCAAAACCCTAAACCCTAAACCCTAAACCCTAAACCTCGCTCAGCTACGGGCAGTTGATCTGCTGGCAGCTCTTGCAAGACTCCGGCCGGGATCTCCTGCACAAAGCTTGGAGCACCCTTCGTTGGAGTTGTAAAGGGTTCAGGGTTTGGGGTTCAGGGTTCAGGGTTCAGGGTTCAGGGTTTAGGGTTTAGGCTTTAGGGTTCAGGGTTCAGGGTTCAGGGTTCAGGGTTTGGTTTAGGGTTTAGGACCCTAAAGGGCTTAACTAAGTCTAAGGGTGTCGACTTTAGGGTTTAGGGCCCGAAGGTTTCGGGGTGTGCAAAGGTGTCCCTGAGCCCTGATCCCCTGCCCGAACGATGAACACATTCGAATGGTCGCACCTCCTATGGTTATCCCCCTGCATCGAAACAGTTGCCAGACCAGGAAGCCCATAAACCCTAAACCAACCCTAAACCCTAAAACCCTAAATTGCAGCAATAGAGCAGATTTTGGCCGATTGGTGGACCCGTGGCCATTGGCAAAGTTGCAAATGGCCACCGAAAACACCCATCTTGACCACGAACCTTAATGGGGGCCGAGGTTTAGGGTTTGGGTAGTTTAGGGTTTTTAGGGTTTCGCGTTTAGTTGACAGTTTCGGGTTCAGGATGGACCCTGAGCGACACCTCACAAACCCGATGCCCGAATTCAAGGGATGAAGACTCGAACCCCGAAGGTTGTACCCCTAAAGGGTTCCCTTAATGTACTGCCATGTACTACCTTAGGAATCTTTAAAGAGGGTCCCCCAAAACTCAAGTGTACAACCTTCGGGGTCCAAGGTAAAACCCTAGAGATGTAGAGGGGTTGTCTTTAGACTCAGGGTTTGTTGTAAACCCACCCTAAACCCTAAACCCCCGCCCCAGAAAAACAAAAAAACTCTGAGTTTTTTTCTTCGTTTTTGTGAGGGAGGTGTGGGGTTTTAAGGGGCCGAGGGGGTTCAGCAATTCAGTGGTGCGCAGAAGAGTTGAGGTGCCCAGAACCCAGGGACTTTGGCTTAGGGCAACCCCCTTACGACCCCCTCACTGACGTGCAACGAGGGTCAGCCCACTCACATACCGGAACGCGTGTCTTTCTTCAGCTTGGCCGCAACGGCCTACGACAGCAGGTCAACAACGTCATCGTGGCCTTTCCCATTGGCGAATTTATACGGGGTCCAGCCGTAAATATCCTGCTTGTACTTGTCGGCACCTGCTTTCAACAGCAAGTCCACGACGTCAGCATGGCCCTTTTCGCAGGCCACGTGGAGGAGGTCCTGTCGTCAGGGTTGGGTGGGGGGTTGCATCTTAAGTCTAAACGGTTTGAAACCAACCCGCGTTCAAGCAGCAAGTGTGGCAACATTTCCTCACTTTGGGAGCCAAACACCATGTTCCAGACGCCATGTTTACATTAAACTGTTCAAACTTTTGTTTAAGCATATCAGGGGGCAGGTATTTAAACATGTCGTCCAAACGCTTTTAAGTCCTGCGCTGAGGTGGACCTTCGCAGATCAGCTAGATTTTTCAACGTGTTGAAACCTAGGCCGCTCACGAGAACACCTTTCAAACGTGCTGTGGTGGCCCAGTAACCATAATCATAATATTAATAATAATAATAACAGTAATAATAATAATAGCAATAGTAATAATAATAACAACAATAACCATAATAACAAAAAATTATAATAATAAGGGTACACTTTTTGGGGTGGGGTAGTTCATAAGGGAAAATGGAACCCCAATTTAAAACAAAAAGGGGGGGGGGGGGGGGGAAAGGGTACCACTGGTCTGCCAAGATGCGTAAGCCGTCGCTTAAGCGCGTTGAGCGTGCTTTTGCAGCCAGGCTTAGGGTTCAGAGACTTAGGGTTTAGGGGGTTTAGGGTTTCGGGTTTAGGGTTTAGGGTTTAGGGTTTACGGACGGCGATGTCGAGCCGCCAAGTTCATGAAGCATGCTTAGGCACGCTGAATAAGCCCTGACTTCGAGCATGATGTTCTGCCAGAAGTGGTTAAAAAACACTTGTGGTTTAAACAAAATTGGTGTTTAAACATCCACTATTTGAATGCCAATCTCTCTTACATTTTGGAACATATTCATGTTTAAACGGCTCAGACTTGCAACTTTGAACCTGATTGGCCCGTCCCTGCCTGTGGTAGTCGTCCAGCTTGTCCTTGTCAACCCCTGCTTTCAGCAGCAAGTCCGCGATCCGTGCATGGCCGTTCTTCGAGGCCAGGTGAAGGGCAGTCATGCCGTGGGCATCTGGATTCTCCTGGCCACGATGTCAGCATGGCCTTTCTCGGAAGCCAAGTGGAGGGAACTCGCGCCGTCTCTGTTCTGCTTGTCGATGTCGGCACCTGCTTTCAACAGCAAGTCCACGACGTCAGCATGGCCGTTTCGCAGGCCATGTGGAGGGGCGTGTTGAGCAGCCAGGCACTGTCCTTGTCGGCACCTGCTGTCAACAGCCCGCAATTTCAGCATGGCCTTCCTTGGCATGCGAAGGGCCTCATTCGGCTGCCGGTTGTAGGTAATAATAGTAATAATAGTAATAGTAGCAATAATGGTACTAATCGTAATAATAGAAATAATAGTATTTTTTGTCTTCAACAGCAAGTCAACAAGCGCTACATGGCCCTGCGGGACGCGTTGAAGAAGTGCAGCGCTGCCATTGCGCAGCCGCCTCCACCTCGCATCTTCGGCGAGGCCAGCTTCGAACAAGCTGCGTGCCACATCACTGTGGCCCTCCTTGAAGGCATAGTCAACAAGCTCGGTTCGAGCTACCCGCATGTGCGCATCGTCGACAGTACCTGTCAGCACCAGGCTCATGTTCAGAGCCCCATCCAGCCTGGCTGCGTCGTCCAAGCGCTCGCCACCCTGCGCGATCCGTGGAAGGCTCACTGGGAAGGCGGACTTCGAGCGCAGGTGGTGCTTCAGGGTCCACACTGTCCTATGCTCCCCTTAGAACCTTAACAAAGCTAATCTCTTTCACATCCTCTTGGGTTCTATATGAACAAAAATAAAAGAAACTTATTCCCAAGGGGGATGTAGCGTCAGCCCGTCGAGCAGACGCTCCCGGGCCGAGACCTCCGCAAGCTCCGCTGAGGTCATGGCGACCAAACCCTCTCCGGAAGCGCTCCAGACTTCCAACATGGCGTCAAGTTTTCAGAGACTCCATAAAATCCCTTAGTTCAGGACTATACCTTAAATCATAATAGGGATCCTATTATATTTGAAGGGAATTAAGAGATATTGGAGTCTCTGGGAACTTGACGAACTAGCGAACAGGCACTGAATCTCCGATCTGAAGCCAGCATTCATGCCAGACCATATGCCATTGTACCCCTACTACCCGTAACCCTGCGCCCGGGGTCTCTTGTCATTGCGGTTTACTTGGCACCTCGACAACTGAGGCCGAAACCCTAAACCGCCAAAACCGAATCCCTGACCAAGAGCTCTGAACCCCGCAGACCCTGAACCAAGGACCCCAAACCCTCGACGACAAGCCCTAAATCGCAAACCCCCTAAAACTTAAACCCTAGCCCCTCAACCCTAAACCCTCAACCCGAAACCCTAAACCCTGAACCCTAAACCCTAAACCCTAAACCCTAAAACCTCAGGAGCAACTTCGGGTCCTCGAGCGCCTTGCGAGGAGGCAGCAGCTTCCGGAGCGGCCAGGGCAGCAGCTTCTGGAGCAGCCTCCACACCTTGGGGGAAAGGGTCCTAGGGCTTTAGGGTTCTTAAGTTCTTAGGGGTTTTAGGGGATTTAGGGGTTTTAGGGTTTAGGGCATTTTTTGGGGGGGGGTTTTTCGGGGCGGGTTTTCGGGTTTAGGGATGAGGGGTTTTGGACGTGTTTTTGGGTTTTTTGGGGGTGCTTCGGGGTGCTTTTGTGGGAAGATTCTGCGAGGCGTTTTAGGGGTGTGTTTTTTGGGGGGTGGGGGTGGGGAGGTGCTTCAGGGCGTTTGGGGTTTGTTTTTGGTGCTTAGACTGCTTCAGGAGGCGTGTGGCACCCACAGACGGAGGCGCGACATCTTAGGGCGTCTTCGGGGTGCACCTCGTTACCCTAAACCCTAAACCCTTAAACCCTAAACCCTGAAAAGATCCCGAGGGCCAAACAGGAAGACATTGCTTGAGAGTCTTCTCCTCCGCCTCGCAGCGAAAGGTGTTTGTTTAAAATGCATGAGCATGGCTTGCGAGTTCGGGCTGTGGCACCGAGCGAGCTCAAATTCCGAATCTTCACTGTTGAGTAGTCCTCCAAGTATAGGGTCTCTTTCTGGGTCCCTTACATAGCTCCCTTATAAAAATGTTACAGAGAACAAGCCCTAAACCGCTTGTTCAGGCGTGTCTCTTCTTCAGATGTGCTGGTCACAGCTCACGCTTCAACAACCGGGTTCAGGGTTTTGCGGTTTGTGCTTCGGGGGGTTAGGTAGATGGTTTAGGGTTTAGGGTTTAGGGTGTGGTTTTTGTGGGGGGGGGGTTTTGGCTTTCCCTAAAACTCTCAAAGCCCTCAGCCCAACAGGACAGCCTCGTCATCATTCGGCTCAGCGCCCTGGTGAGATTTAGGGGTTCCGGGCTTCAGTTAGGGTTTAGGGTTTAGGGTTTACGGTTTAGGGTTTAGGGTTTCGGGTTTAGGGTTTAGGGTCTAGCGTTTACGGTTTAGGGTTCAGGGTTTTGGGTTTGTGTTGCCACTGACAGTCGCACTTCAGCTGACATTGAGAAGAAGAACGTAGTATGCGAGACCAACCAGCAGGATGCAGGATGTAGGGCTTCACTTGCTCAGACTTGCTCATATTCATAGGAGTCAGGGTTTAGGGTTTAGGGTTTCGGGTTTCGGGTTTAGGGTTTGGGGTTTAGGGGGTAGGAGTTGATCACTGTAGAGGTTCAGGAGCTTAGGGGCTTAGGGATCTAGAGGTTCGCCACTCGCATGATATTTTAGGTTAAGGGCTGAGGGGCACACTCACATGCCCGGCCTGAGCCGCGGCTTTCAAGCACTCGGCGACCTCCGCCACCACGGGCTCCAGCTTCTGCGCATCCTCTGGGCCCTGCAATGTTGCAAGTTGCAAAGCCCATGGCCCGTGGCCTTGCAATTTCACATCGTTGGCCTGCGCCGCATCCTCCTGCGCAGCTGGCTCCGCGGCCTGGCACAAACACGTCTGGGAGGTTGAACGAAACGAATCCGCGAAGCTTCAGCTTGTGCTGCAGCACGCCGGGCCTCTCCTGCGGTGGCCTGCAATGCGTCCTCGGCCACTGCGGCCGGCTCCATGTTCTGTGTTTGGACCTGGCAGGATTTCTCCACCCTCATACCACCACTCTCCAAGAAGCAAAAGTCTCTCAGGCCTCCTCTTGTGCCTCTGCTGCATCCTCTCGCTCAGCTGGCTCCTCGGCCTGGCAAGAATCAACAAGGGCTTCACCTGTCAACCACTACTGGCCGAACTTTAAAAGGCTCTCAGGTCTGTGCCTGGTCATGGGCCTCCGTCGCATCTTCCTGCCCAGCTGGCTCCACGGCCTGGCAAAACCACGTTTGGGAGTGTGGGGTCGACATGGCACGGGTCCGCGAACCTTCAACTTTTGCCATAGCACGTCGGGCCTCCCCGGCGGCCGCCAGCAATGCGTCCTCGGCCACTGCAGCCGGATCCACCTCCCCAGATTTCCCATTCAAAAACATCAGCTTCGACTACACAAATAAAAGAGGCAGAGATGCAAATAACTGTGTTTTCCGAAATTTACACCAAGTTTTTTGTGGTGGAGCCTATGTATTTCTATATGACGAGATTAAAAGTGCAAAGAAAAAAACGTAACAATAAACGAGATATGAGAACTAATTTTTATATCAAACCACAATTAAGTAAATTTTCCCATATTTGTCAAGATATATATATATATATATATATTTCCAGAAATACATGTGAATTCTCATTTTGTGATCAAATATTACGTACAAATGTTTATTGAAAATGAAAAAATGAGTTAAAGCAATACAATATTGGGAGTAGTAATTTACATAAAATACTAAATAAAATAATCTACCATCTTTGTTTTTTTACGAAATCATGTTGAAATTTGCTATGACTGGGCAAATATCAAATTTCAGCATATCATATATAATTTTTAATGCAAAAAAACAAATTTCAAAATATAATAATTTTAAACTTTCATACAGATAGATAGATAGATATATATATATAGAGTAAATGTTCAAGTATGCATACTAGGTATAGCTTCCACTTTCCAAGAAGCAAAATGCTCTCAGGCCTCCTCTTCCTCATGGGCCTCTGCTGCATCCTCTCGCTCAGCTGGCTCCTCGACCTGCCAAGAACACGTTTGGGGTTTAGGGTTTAGGGTTTAGGGTCTAGGGTTTAGGGTTTAGGGTTTAGGGCTTAGGGCTTAGGGTTTAGGGTTTAGTAAGGGTTTAGGGTTTTAGGGTTTAGGGTTTAGGGTTTAGGGTTTAGGGTCACAAGGGTCTGCGAACCTTCACCTGTCAACCAGTCTTCCACTTTCCGAACTTTGAAGGCTCTCAGGCCTCTGCTTGGTCAGGCGTCTCCGCCGCAGCTTCCTGCACAGTTGGCTCCGTGGCCTGGCACACGTTTGGGAGCGCGGGGTCGAAGGGGCACGGGCCTGCGAATCTTCAACTTGTGCTGCATCACGTCGGCCCTCCCCGGCAGCCGCCTGCAATGCGTCTTCGGCCATTGCGGCCGGATCCACCTGCCCAGATTTCACTACAGCTCCCACTTTGCAAGAAGCAAAAGGCTCTCAGGCCTCCTCTTCCTCATGGGCCTCTGGTGCATCCTCTTGCGCGACTGGCTCCTCAACCTGGCAAGAACAAGTTTGGGGTCGACAAGGGTCTGCGAACCTTCACCTGCCAACCACTCCGCTCAATACCTCGAATTTCAGATCTCGGGTCTCTGCTTGGTCAGGCTCCGCCGCATCCTCCTTCACAGACTGCTCCACGGCCTGGCAAAACACGTTTGGAGGTTGGGGGTTGAAAGGGGGCTGCAGCACGCAGGGCCTCCCCGGCAGCCGCCTGCAAGGCGTCCTCCGGCTCCAGGTTCACCTGCCCGAGCTTTCTTCCAACCCCCAACTCCTACCTCACTACCTTCAACTTCCAAACCGCAAAAAGGCTGCCTGGTCGCGGGCCTCTGAAGCCTGGCAAGAACAGGCCCTGAACCCTAAACCCTAAACACTAAACCCGAAACCCTAAACCGCAGTCGGGGGTCAGATGCTTCGGCGGCTTGTGCGGCAACGCGCCGAGCCTCCACAGCGGCCTCCAGTGCGTCCTCGGCTGCTGTGGCCGGCTCCATCGTCTGCGGTTGGACCTGCGCCTACGGGTTTAGGGTTTAGGGTTTAGGGTTTAGGGTTTAGGGTTTAGGGTTTAGGGTTTTGGGTTCAGGGGCCCCTTCCCCTTTGCGAAGCTTCCCCTCTCCCCGCCGCCCCCCGGCCCCTCGACTGACTGGCAAAGCGCAGCTGTGCGAAACGCACCTTCAACTCCTTACTTGGTCGTGGCCTCCACTGCGTCCTCCTGCGTGGCTGGCTCCACAGCCTGGCAATGAAGGCTTGAAAATTAGATAGTCTTGGGGTCAAAAAAAAGGATCTGGGGTCCGTGAACCATATGCCGAACCTGCTCCTTCTTCGGCGCGTCCTCCACCGCCGCGGCGGTCTTCTGCGCCGGGCCCTGCGCCCGAAGTCGGCATTCTTCCCCCTCGCCCCCACTACGCCAAATCCCTGAAGGCCAGAAAACCCCCCCCCCAGCAAGCTGGGCAGGCGATGAGACCGCCAGGAACGAGATTCTCAAAGAAATGGCATGAGTCCCCCAACTTTAGTCTCTTGTTATCTTGTGCCTTTGTTGCGCCAACTCATCCCGAATGCTCAGAACAGGTGCAAGCGAAAAGCTGACGAGGCAGCACAGAACACCCTGAAGCTTCTGCAGCCCAATACCTACCTTCCTAAACCCAGCGGCGCCTCCTCGCTAGTTGCATAAGCCGCACTGGCGGCCAAGCCCAGAGCAACCACAGGGGCCTCAGAGGTTCTGCGGCTGAGGGTTAAGGGCGTTGGGCTCTGTAGATCTATCCATCGGGGGGGCCCAAGTCATAGAGGCCTTAGCTGGGCTATAAATAAGAACGAAGTCATGTGCCCCTTCACGAAATGGCAGGCCCACTCCGTGAGTGAACCCTTATGCTTCCCAAATTCGGGGTGACCCTTTTTGGTTTTCGGACACCCCGAAAAGGCTTGAGTTTCGAACAGCCGCTTCTGACCTTTACCTTCTGAACTTGTTCTTATTCGAGAGGCTTTTGGGCCGCCCTCTATCTGGCATGTTCCTCCTAGCTTTACTAGGTATATGGTATACCCTTCACCCATCTTCTTTCAGAAGATTACAGGCTATAGCTGGTGGTACAAGGAAAAATAGGAAGATCCCGGCGACAGGTCTCAACGATATCACCCTAAACACTAAGACACCCCCCAAACCCCAACTCCAAGGACTCCTGCCACTAGAAACCGACAACCTGAAACCAAGAAACTGCACCCCTGCACCCCTGCACCCTAATTTGTTCACTTCTTGCCCTAAACCCTAAACCCTAAACCCTAAACCCTAAACCCTATACCCCCTAAACACTGCACCCGAAATTTCACTTGCGACCCTAACACCAACCCATCCTTCGGCTTGGAGCCCGCACGTGGAGTACCAGCAGGCCGGCTGCACCGCCTGGGAGTTGGGCAGGGTAGGTTTTGACCCTAAACCCTAAACTCCAAACCCTAAACCCTAAACTCCCAACCCTAAACCCTAAACCCTAAACCCTAGACCCTAAACCCTAAACCCTCAACCTAGACGAAGCGAAGTCCAGGTTTTCCTCCCTCCTCACGCCAGGCCAGGCACGGCTAAGCCCTTAAACCCTAAACCCTAAACCCCAAACCCTAAACCCGATACCCTAAACCCTAAGCCCTAAAGCCTTAAGACTCCCAGGAGGCTCCGGGCACCCGGCTCACCGCCGCGGCTTGCGCGGCCGCCTTGGCCCAGCGGGACCTGATGGGGCGAAAGACCCCGCCCTTCGTTCAGGAATCGGGTTTAGGGTTTGGGGTTTGGGGTTTAGGGTTTAGGGTTTAGGGTTTAGGGTTTAGGTCTTTTCTTCTGCCGCCCGACTAGCCACAGCAATGCGGGGTATATTGGTCGGGTTTGGGGTTTGGGGTTTCGGGTTTAGGGTTTCGGGTTTAGAGTTTAGGGTTTCGCCACCCGCAGAGTTTTTGGTTTAGGGTTTAGGGTTTAGGGTTTAGGGTTCAGGGTTTAGGGTTTAGGGTTTAGGGTTTAGGGTTTAGGGTTTAGGGTTTAGGGTTTAGGGCTTAGGGTTTAGGGTTTAGGGTCTCGGGTTCAGGGTTTAGGGTTTTAGGGTTTTAGGGTTTTTCTGCCACTCGCCTAGCTGGCCTTAGGGTTTAGGGGGTTAGGATTCGGCTCGCTTCAGTCATGCCAACCTGAAAAGAAGGGGTATCTTGAGGTTTGTGATGAAAAAAAGCGCTAGGTTTCTCGGGGGACTTGGGGGTAAGCAAGGTTTGAAACCCCTAGCGACCATGAGCACACAGGGAGGGGTGGGCGTCACGCGGTTCGGGCTTGATTGGGCCCTCATTGCTTGGAGCTTCCAGGGTACTTAGAACCCCATTTAGAGCTGCACTTATAAGCCCCTAATTAAGTCCTCTAAGTAGGTTATAAGTAGACTTACAATTGGGGTTGTAAGTACCCCATGAGCCTCCAAGTATGCCCGATTATGAGCACACAGGGTCGGCTGGGCGTCAGTGTGAGCATCCTGAACCCGAAGGAGCACCGAAAACTTGGATCAGCCCTCCATGGAGGCGAGGCTCCAGAAGAAATAGCCCTAAACCCTAAACCCTAAACCCTGAACCCTAAACCCTGAACCCTGAACCCTAAAGCCTAAAGCCTAAACCCCTATTTTGGGCTTGGAGTTTAGAGTTTTTGGCCACCTGCAAGCGGCTGAGGGCTTCATTGGGCACTTTTTTTTTTTTGTTTGGGGGGGGGGGGGGGGT